CAATCCCACTCCTGGACATTTTTGGGAGAAAACTCTAACTCAAAAAGACACGATCCCCAGTGTTCATAGCAACACTATTTACAATAGCGAAGACATGGGAGCAACCTAAATACAGATGAATGGATAAAGAAGCTGTGAGGTGTGTACACATACACACACACACACACACACACACAGGAACATTACTTAGCCATAAGAAAGAATGAAATAATGCCATTTTCAGCAACATCGATGGACCTAGAGATTATCATACTAAGTGACATGAGTCAGATAGAAAAAGACAAATATCATATCACTTATATGTGAAATATAAAAAAAAAATGATACAAAGGAACTTATATCCAAATAGAAATAGAAACAAACTTATGGTTACCAAGGGGGAGGGATAAATTTGGAATTTGAGGTTAATAGATACACAATACCATATATAAAATAGATAAATAACAAGGACCTATTATATAGTAAAGGGAACTATATTCAATATCTTGTAATAAACTATAATGGAAAAGAGAATCTGAAAAAGAATACATACATATGTGTATGTGTGCATACATGTAAAACTGAATCACTTTGCTGTACACCTGAAACACCGTATCAACCATACTTCACTAAAAATTTTAAAAGAGGGTTTCTCCAATTTACTAGCCCTTTCCATGATGTGTATTTTCCCCATTATTCTTTTTAATTTTTTACCTTCTCCTAATTCTGACTCTTTCCACCATTTGTAAACACTGGCCCATCAAGGTGATTGTATACATACTGTGAGGACAGGTCATGTTGTGAGTATCCACAATGCTTAATCAGTTTAGTTGTGAATCTGAGAATACCAGGTTAGGAATGCTCTTCACCCAGCCCAACTTGTACAAGCCCATCTATTGCTTCTAAAGGCACCAACGAGCCCTATTATTCGTTTCTCCCTTGAATACCCTCTCTCATTAGTGTTTGGGGCTTTTTCTCAGCTATCTATCATATCAATGGGTTGCAAAACACAACATTGTTAAGATGTCAGTCATCCAGAATTCATTTATAAATCTGACACAACATTCTAGCAGGCTTTTTTTTTTTTAGAAATTGGCAAACTTATATTAAAATCCATGTGGAGATGAAAAGGACTCAGAAAATCCAAAGCAATATTGAAAAAGAATAAAATGGAATGATTTATACCACCTAATATATAAAGGCTTACTAAAAACTACAGTAACCAATAGCATAAGGATAGACAGGTCAATGTAGAATAAATCTAGACATGGAACTTTATTACATCATCAGTTGATTTTTAACAGATCTATCAAATCAAATGAATGAAAAATAATCATCTTTCCAAGAAATAATGATGGAATATGTGGACAAGCTTATGAGGGGAAAATAAATCTCAATCCTTATCTCACACCATACACAAAAATTAATTTGATTTAAAAGTTAAATCAAAACCTCTTAGAAAAAACATAGGAAAATATGTGGATGACCTCGGTCGGAGTAGGCAAATATTTCTTAGACTGACTATAAAAAAATTTGATAAACTAAACTTCCTCAAAATGAAAAATTTCTCCTCATCAAAAATCACCATTAAAAACGTATAGGGGGAAACTTCATACTGGGAAAAAATACAATACTTATAACTTAAAATGTATTTGAATACAGAATATATAAAGTACACATATAAATCAATAATGAAAAGGCCAAAGCCTAATTAAAAATGGGCAAACACTGCAAAAGGAAGATATATATATACGATGTATCATACATGTGGTCAAATGAGCACCAAATAATATGCTCAGCATTCTTAATGACAATTATACGCAATAGAAATGCACATAAAAGCTACCATGAACTACTATTTTACAATCACTAAAGTAACTAAAATTAAAAAGACTGACAACATCAAATGTGAGCAAAGATATGGAGCAACTGAAATTCTCATGTTGCTGGTAGAGACAGAAAGTAATACAACTTTAGTAAACTGTGAGCAGGTTTCTCATCAAATTAAACATACAGCTACCCTAAGACAGCAGTTCCACTCCTAAATCTTTACTTAGGAGAAACAAAGACATTTATTTACAAAAAGACTTATATATGAAGGTTCATAACACCTTTATTCACGATAGAAAAAAAAACTAGAAACAATCCAAATGTTCATAAACAGGAGAATATAAAAATCATTTGCAGTATACTTATACCATGAAATACTTCACTTATATGAAGTTCAAGAACAGGTAAAATTAACGTATGATAATAGGAAAGATAACCGTTGTCGCTTTAAAGGAACTGACAAGAAAAGAGATACAAAGGAATTTACTGAGCTGATGAAAATTTTCCACCTTTTAACTGGAGTGAGGATTATATTTGCATCTTTCAAATTCATTGAAATATACATTTAAGATCTATGAAGTTCACTTTATGTAATTATATCCCAGTTTTTTAAGTCCATGGTTAATGCTGCTAGCAGAAGTATGATAATCAGAAAGGTAAATCCATATGTAAATTATGTCTCTATTCCAGTCAGGGGAAATTACTGCCCTTACATGTTGGAGAGATCTAATGTCATCAAGCTGGCACAGTGGCTGGCCAGTCGCAGCACCGTGCTAAGTCAGAATCTGAATTCTGGCCCATTGCTGTTGACTTAGCCCATGGTTGTTAACTTAGCAACAGAGGCAGTCAGATCACCTGAGTGGGGAAAATCTATTTTTGAACCCATTCATTGTCTCCATCCCTGAAGCCATCAACTATTCGTACATGGGCTCACTATGAACGTAATAGGATACCTGGAGAGAGATGCTGACATCTCAGGACAGATCGTCTTGTTTATCTGACTATTCAGAGGCTCCTCTATGTGGAATGCCCTTTGTTGAGCTTTATGGGCAACACAAATACCTTCATATTCCATCCTCATTCTGAGAGACACAAACACATACATCTTCTCCAGAACTCCCTGTCATCAACTTTTTAATCTTATTTTTTCAAGCCCTAATTAATTGCACATGATTAGCCACTGTCAAATATTAACAATGACTACCTCTGGATTCCTCCTTTTTCAGACAAAGTAGAAAACCAGATACACTGCTCAATAAGAGAATTTTCTTCGATCATTGTTTTTCAAAAACACCTCTGAGAAATGCTATAATAATGCAGAGGGCATCCACTTCCAAGTGGTGTCAAAAACTAGGTAGAGTCATCTGTACCAGGCCTCAGTTGTTTTCTTCCTCCAGCAACCGGTTCTAGGAAACTCCCATAAAGCCACAGGGACGCACGGAGAAAGGGCTAGCAATGCAGCAGGAGTGCGTGGCATGGGACTTTTGGCCACCTGCTCAAACAACTTACTTAGATCTTCCTCTTTGGTTCTTTGCTCATCTTGGTATATCATATAGCACTGTGTTCATGATGGGCAGCTCAGGTTTCATAATTTGGGGAGAAGTGAGATTCATCTGCCTTTCTTAGACATGATGTACTTTATCCAGGTTGCCAGTCTCCACAATTCCATCATGACTCCTTGAC